AGGCAACGCCTTTCCGAGGAGAGGCCGCTGGCCGGTCGCCGTCCCCCGCAGAGGGGCAGGGTGGGGGTGCGGAGGTTTTGCTGCCCGAGTGAAGGAGCTGGGTGCCGGCTGCCCTCACGGTGGTCTCCTGCTTTCTCCCGGCGAAGGCCCCACTGATGGCTGCAGTCTACTGCCGCCCCCTCGGTGACCCAAGAGTACCCCCCTCCCTGCTCCCTGTGGAGACCTCAGCCCACTCTTCTACTCGGACGTGCTTCGGGAATAGTCAGTGATCGTGGCGATAGCGATTCGGCCAAAATTGAATTGAAAACGGCCGTTTCTGTGCGTTTCCTGTATTTGTTGGTCTCCTTTATGTGTGCACACATAAAAGCTAAAAAAACACCATGAACTCTTTTGTTGCTTTTCTGTGCGTGCACTTTCCATGGTGTTGGGGAGCATCATATTACACCTGCTTACTGGGTTATTTGCCTTTTATTTTTCTAAAGGTAGAAGATGGCTGAATACTTGAAAAAGCCCTTCAAAGACAGTCTGGATGATATAAAAGAACGAATGAAAGAGAAGAGAAATCAGAAATGGATAAGGTTGGGTAAAATTAACCAAATCTCGAATGTAAAGTGCAAAATAGCAAGTAAGATGCTTAAATATCTTAAATCACAATTTTCATAAACTTTTTTTTATATATAACTAGTTTGAGATACTCACTTTCTTGTTACAGCCAACAGCTCCATGCAAATGAAGAGTATCCAAGCAAATAACAGAGCTCTAGCTCTGGCACTGCAAGAAGAAAAGCTCAAACTGAGGGAAGCCCAAACTACCATCCTTCATTTAAGGGAACAGTATCAAGGTCTGAAGGTTCAGATGTTTGATTTACAGCGAAAACTTAGATTTGAGCAAGCACAAGGATATGTTGAGGTATTTTTAGTAATGTCTTTATGATTTAGTGAAGCTGAACATCAGAATCTACCCTAAATAATCTCCTGATGTCTTTATGAACTTGAATGTTTCATAAAAACTGACTTGATATACAGGACAAGGTTTTTGTATTTTTAACCTGATCAGATTGTTAACTATAGTTTTTGGTTATACTTTCTTCTGTAAGCAAAATCTATGCTCTGAGTACTTTTATCATAGTTGAAGATACCTGATACGTGTTTAGCTATAATACTGGCGACAGGATATTATGCTGATGGCTGAATATAACAGTAGCAAATATTATTTATCGTCTTTCTCCATTAGACTCGACTGCTAGCCTTGAATGAGATAATTTCAAAAGTTTCTCAGAATTTACTGGACTCAGTTCATCTCCTTGGCCCAGCAAAGAATCTGTGTTCTACAGATGTAGTAAGTACCTTTTCTTCTATGTGGGGGACTTCTGTTAATTATTCCCCTTACTCTGTTCCCCTTTTCCTCCGGCATACCTGCACATGATTTTTGAGATCTGAGCTTTAGTTTGGATGCAAGACTGGTCTCACGTTTCCCAATATGCGATGGGGTACCACTGCGGTTGCTAGTGGCACTGAGACTCTCTTGAGGTGAATGGGACACCCTGATTTTCTTTGGCTTTGCGTCTCGTGTGCCCTGTGTCTTCCTCGCAGTTCCTTCCTGCGTTTGCTGTTTGATTGGGCTAGTGATAGTATGTGTTGACTTGCTGGAACTGAGTATGTGAGATTCCACAACACTTTTGTGTGTTTGCCAGCTGGTTGCTGCCTGTGCAAGTGTTGAAAAGATCAGGTTGTATTGCTGATCTCAGAAGATAACAGACTGAAATTTCAACTTTACTTGAAACTGGCCAATAAATTCCAAAGGAAATAGAAAAGTTAGGAATTGAATGGGCAGTGATAACTGCAATGTCTTTAGGAAATAAGATGAAAATAAAAACAGTCAAGGGTCTCCTTGGGCCTTCTGTGTTAACTTAGCTCCTGTCTAAAATTTGTATATGGTGAGCCCTTGCTTCAGCTGTTTCATCACAGTAAGATTTGTTTTGTTGACAGAACCAGAGAGTGTCGTCTTCAGTGCTTGAAAATAATTCTGGTGCCGTAGGACAAATATGTTTTGTGTAAGTACTTTTTGTTAATGCATAGTTATGTTTGAAAAATGGGTTACAGTAAAATCTTCTGACTGGAAAGGGAAAGAAATCCAATGTAATATAAGTAATTCATTGTCCTATTTTTTTTTCTTTTCTTTTAAAGAAAGCATTCACCATGTGCTAATGGAGATGATCGGGGACTGCAAAGGGAAATGGAGGCTGATAATGCTGGAAATGAGCAGGCTCGTTCTATGTTAGAGGTCTGCCAGGAATCTGAGAATGCCATTTCTTTAATCAAAATAGTTCCAGACAAAGGTACCTAAAGTAGAAATTGGACATTATTTCATTTTGAAATTAAAAAGAAAAAAGTGTTGAGTATAAGTTTAAAGCATAATTACCGCTTTTGAAGGAATTGTGAAGTAATTTTCACTTGTTATTGTAAAGGTTTGATGTTAACGTCAGCAAAAGGTAAACTGTTTGAATTAAGATGCCTAGCAAAATGGGGAATGACTTTGAAAACATTTTTGGTATGCCTGCAGTCTAGTTTCATTATCTACCAAACAGCTCAGCAAAGTAAATTCATCCTTAGTGGTGTATTAACATTTATGTAATCAACGACTGCTAACAAAGCAAGATATTTGAAAAAATAAAAATAAACGTTATCTGTAAATCCTATAGAATGTTATGTAAAACATTACAAATATTATTATGAGTACATGTATACTTAATTGTATTCATTTATAAATTATTAATTAATAATTTATTTATGGATGACTGTAAATAAATAAATATGAAGAACCCTTCCAAACTTTAGCAGTTTGGAGGAAAATCTTCAAGCTGTAGTATACTTAAGAACTGCACTCTGGAGGCTGTCTTAAACGGAGGTTATCTTGGTTGCAATATACTGGGTTGTACAAGTCTGTTGAGAGAATTCTAATAGTCTAATTGTTGACAGGTTCAAAAATTGAGCAAAACTTTTCCAGATTGTTACTATTAGCTTATTATGAATTTTCCTCTTCAATTACAAGGACAAACCTCTGATTTTCATCTGGATAATGCAGCATCACAGTTGGAAAATACTTCCTCAAGTGAAGAGGACAGGCCATTTGGTAATATGTTACCAAAAAGTGTGTCCACCAGGCGTCGCCATTCGAAAATGAGAACTCATGATGAACTTTGCACTGGTATCTTGGACCATTCAGAAACACCTGATTCACCAAGAGAGCTTTCTAAACAGGATGCAATTAGACTTGAGGAAAGTCTAGAGAAACGTACTGTAGAAAACACAAGTTCAGATATTTCTCAGCTGAATGAAAACAAGGTAGGTTCAGAGCTGGTGTTGAGGCAGGTAGATTCTGCAGCTACCCGGTTCAATTCCGGCAACATATCTGACTCTAAACAACATGAACGTAAAAGAAAAGAAGACTCTCAAGTAAGGAGAGAAAAGCATCAGAAGGGAAAACTGGAAGGGACTAAAAATACTTCCAGACCAAGACCAAAGAAAAGACAGGGTAAAGAGACTTCCAAGGAAAAGTTGGATTTCTTGGGTGGCTCCAGTGATGCTTATGACTTTCATTTTGAAGAGTGTGTCCATGTTACACCTTTTCGACAAAATAAGGTTAATGACACAGATGCTGGTGTGGATGACAAAGAAGATTTACCTGAAACTGATAGCGCTGAGCCTAGTGATAAAGAAGATTCAGATGATAGCCTCTATGTACCTTATATGAGTAAATCAAAAAAACGGAAAAGTTCAATGGGCAAAAAAGATACATCACCAATCCATGCAAGACCAAGATCTAAAAGATGTCTGGCACAGCGTGAGCAGAAACTCCAGAATGAAAAAGAGACTAAAAGCAATAAATCAAGTGACAAGTCTACTAGTAAGTTTGAAAATTGGTCTGTAATCTTTTCTTTTTTTTTTTTTATGTTTTATTGAGGTACATTATTGTTTCAGGGACTTAAGCTTTTTTTAAATCTAAGTTCTTTCATAAATACACTTGGAATATATTATAAAAATCATTACACTCATTCTTCTAACTCTTTTTCCTCACAGCAGAAATGGTAATTGAAGATAGATATGTTTTGTTCATTACTAAGGAGTTTTAAAAGTAACTGTTTTTAGATCTGCTTCAAAATGTATTAAGGCTGGGGAAAAAGGAGATAAAGAGTACAAATTGAGAGAAGTGAAGTAACTAACACTAAGCAGTGGGAGGCAGTGTGATTTTTTTCCCCTCCCCCCCTGCCGCCCCCCCCCCCCCACAATATACAAGATTGTAAGTTGATCATTTTTGCATTAAAGTAAGAGTGAATAAAATGGAGATAATAGGCACAGTTTAGAGTTAACTTCATGTCTAGTACATTCATAGGCATTGCCTTTTAAGATTTGTATTTGCTGGAAATGTCTTAATGATGCAGCATACTTTTTTTTTTTTTTTTTCAGGTGAGCCTTTTGAACCATCTCGTAGTCTTTGTGATGTTACCAACACTGCTTCATCACTCCTCATTGGGAGTGCACCTATTGTCCCAGAAGGTGAAGGACCTCCAGCTCCAAAACGCAAGAGAAGCTGTACTCTTACTGTGAGCTATAAAGAACCAAGTATTGCAGGGTAGGTGTCTTATTTTCAGGTTGATATGGAGTTCATGGCACTCCATCAAATGGAGAATTTAAGAAGATTATTTAAAAATTGGAAAAAAGTTCTTAATAGAACATTCAAAGAGAGGTCTGATGTTACTAATAAATAGTGCCTGTAAAAATGAACTTACTAGTTCAATTAAATACTTTAAATGGAAGGGGCAGGAAACGAAACTCATTTGCTTTTTTTTTTTTTCCTCCTCCAGGAAGCTTAGGAGAGGAGATCCATTTACAGATACATATTTTCTGAACTCTCCGATTTTCAAGCAGAAAAAAGATGCTAAACTTTCTGTTAAAAAAGAATCTCTGTCAAAATACAATGAGAAATTTGTTGGTTGTCGTTGAGATTTCCTGTCACACTCGCAAAATCCTGAAGAAAGGAAATATTTTACCTAGGAAATTGTTACATAATAACATCTGGTACAGTATGCAATTATGTCTAGGTGTCTAATACTAACTATAAAATTAAGGTTTTTCAATTGTAACCCAGGGGCTTGTTTTTAATGAGATGTTATTCTGTTTTGAAGTCACAATGCTACTTTCATAATTCAGATGATTTTT